GAGGACTTTACAGCGGTCTCCCTCTGAACCCTGGCACTGCGGCAGTGCAAGGGCAAAGCACGTGCCACTACCCGGGGAAATCGAGGCACAGGGAAGCAATGTGTGTTATCCAAGGTGGAACTACAGGGCAGCACCGGGGCTGGGAACCAACTATCACACTGAAATATGGATTGGGAAGTGTCTCCCTCGCTCCCATTCTTTCTCCTCCCCACCCCAGCATGGAGATGTCCTCTTGCACATCAGCACAAATGTTAACCCTATCTTAAACTAATTGCTAGGTGAGAAAACAAGAATGAGTATGACAGAAATAGATTACACTAAACAGGCTCTTGGATGCCACAGATCAGCAACTGAAGCTGGTCTGTTTTAGAAGCAGGGCTGCATATACTGCACGGAGCCATGGGAACAACCAAAACTGGCATCAGCAGTCAGTCTGCAGGATATATATTCCTGAGTTTTTTTTTTTTTAATAATTCAAAGATAAATATTCCCCCAGATGCACTGAATTTGAGGAAGGTATTAAAGTCGGTCAGAAAAGTTTTGTTGTCTGACATGTTTCCACTCTGGTCACGAGCTATTTGACAATTCGGCATTTTCTTAAAAATTATCTGACTAGCTCTAATGACTGAAATTTATTTCATCTGCAATTCTGGGGTCTAGCCTCACTTGTATCAACATATGGTCCATGTAACAAAGAGGCTGACAGAGATTCAAGGGTCTCAGATTTCCAGCACCTCCTAGAAGATTACTGGGTTGCCCAAGGCTTAGGAAGCCGGTTTCTTCTCTCATTTACAAACGTGACTGAGATCACGAGTGCTTGCGTAGGAGTATTTTTCCAAATGGGTTTTGTAATTGGCAAGTGTGCAGGGAAGTTCTAGTACCTTCAGCAATGCATGCTGTCCTACTACTGTCACCATTTGAGAAGAACGAAGTTCCCCGTTAGAGAAACTTTTAAATAAACAAACAAATTTCAACAGACATTAAGAAAAATGAAAAAAAAGAAAAGTGAGTTAATTCATTTTAATTTCATGAGGTGTAGTTATGACTGCCACAAATTTTAGCAGCAAGGTAAACTGATTGACACAAATTGACACAAAAGCCTACCCAAGTACATGCTTCTCCCTTTGGCTGGAATCTCTGTGTGAACTGGATCTTGCTTTTGTCCTGCTTATCCCTGATGATTACCAAGCCACTTGCCTCCTGATCATATCTGACTGCAAACAGTCCCAGAAAATTGCTACTATTCCACTGAGCATCATGAGGGAGTATTGTCAATGTTTTTACTCACCAAGGGAATGATGAAGTGTGTAGTTAAAACCTCACTTTGAACTCAAACCTGAATAGAAATCCCGAATCAAAGAATCTTTAACCAAAGAACAGGTTGGAAGTTAGTAACGCCCCTCTTCTGTAGTTCATACATCCTAGATGGGATTTACCTCAAAGCAGGAAAGGTTCTACTCTGCTGATGAACCTAAATTTGCAGCAGACACTTACGAAGTGTCCACCCTGTGCAGACCTCCACCTTGGCCTTCCCTTTGCCCGCGCCACATGCAGGTCCAGGACACGGCCTTTTGCTAGGGGAGCTCAGCAGTCTTTTTACTACAGGGGAACTGGAATACTCCAGGACATCCGTATGCTCCATTTTCCCCAAATTTTAGCTTTTACCAGGGTGTTATTCTGGCATAAAGGCCGTCATCAGACTGCCAGGCAATTAGAAAATGAATTAAAGTCTAAAGCAGCTCTTTTAGCCCCTGTTTTCCTGTGGAATATGCAAATCAGAAACACAGGTTGAAGAATTCAATTTAAATTGCTATACCAATAAATAGTGTGCTCCGTAATTTGCCTGTGAAATAACCAATTGAGGAGAAACCTTCCTAAAAATTATACTTTTACTTTTGAGCAATGCTTCTGAAATGTCATAAAAAGTCTGGTAAAACATGAGAGATGAAATTCAGAACTTCTAATTCTTATGAGAACTATTGAATTTTGCTTTCATTATTATTTCTGATGAAGCCTCGAGTTTTGAAAAATTATTTCCAATAAATTCATTTTTAATTCAGCTAGGTTTTATTTTTAAACATCTACTTCAAATTGTAAGATAAAACAAAAGGCATCCTAAAACTGTTTAAAAATAAAACCAGGAAATTTATCATCTTATGAAGCCTTAAAAAGAACTTACACAGAGATTTTTATGCTCATAAAATGGCATTTTGCACCACGATAATAGCTTAAGCAGTACAGCAGCTCTTAAAAATATTATCTACTATTTTAATTTTTCCTTTATACAAGCGCAGTGTACTCTCTAAAGCACACACAAACATTTTCAGATTATTCACAGAAGATGATCTTAATTCTCTCCTGTTTTGAGAGAGACTGAAAAAAGCAGAGGATGACGATACAGGAGATAAACTGTTCTTACCAGAAGATAATTAATTAACATCTGAATATTAAAAATCCAATGCAATCTAGCAATTTCTGGCATTACAGACAGGATTAAAATTTACACTTACCTTTGGCTGTTAGATCAGAATGCCACCAACTGCATAGATTAAATTCCACAAGGAACCTAAACAAATGATTTTTCATATTATCCCAACACTTTCAACGCTGACTGTCAGTATTCCAGTAACACTATGCTTATTTTAAATAAAAGCTAACACAATATTGACATTCATCTTGCTGGCATTACTCTAGGTTATTATCTTTTGCCATGGTCATATTTTCACTGGGTGATATCGTACCATTGGGAAGTTATTCAGAAAATAAAACTTCCAATAAATCATAGATTTACCTATTATTAATCAGCTGCTCTTACTTGAAGTGTCCATTAAAATTCTCAGTGCATGGCAGCCTGCAGCGTTTTTACTGTTTACCCTCATTGCTAACTATTTTCCATTATGCGATATATTTTCATTCTAATATTTTTAATATTGTATTATTATATTAATACATTTTTATTATTATTTTTAAAATGAAATATTTCCTGGCTATAGTACAGAAGTATAAAAATACATTTTATTAATACTGTTGGATCTAAGTAATAAATTGTATTTTATTTCTATTATTTCTATTAGCAGAAAAGGTTTGATTAACCAGTGTCTAATCAATTCTAACAAGATAGGTAGCAAATGCATGTGCCCACCAAAACATACTGCAATGCACTCTAAAGAACGGGTTGAAACAAACCAGTCAATCAGTTTGCACTGCCCGTATGAAGAATGTGAACTGAATATCCAGTTAATAATACAGACATGAAACTGCACTATTTAAAAAAAAAAAAAAGAGGGTTTCTTACAATTTTTGAAACTGTTATGGATAGCAACAGTCTCATTTTTTTTTTCCCAATACAATCTTTGAAAGCTCTGCACACTGGCAATAGCTATCACATTCATTTTCCTTAAATCTTATTCTAACTTTCTGATGAAAGGTCATAGAATTTCCAATTAAAATGGCTAAAGGAAAAGACTAGCTCTATTTCTGGAGTTAATATTCACTTAAGTCTACAATTCTACTGTCTGATAAAAGCAATCACAAAATGTACGGATTAATAGCACAAAAGAAAACATTTCAAAGCTTCCTTTCATTGCATGATATTTCTCTGTGATTTCTTAGGCAATGACTCTTAAAGGAAATACTTACATATTATTACATAATAACTGAAATGATTAGAACTATTAGAGAAGGTTAAAAAGTTCCATAGCATACACACAGTGTATGCACCTTTATCTGGCACCATCTTACAGAAATGATCTGGTCCGTCTTACGGAAATTTATGAAATCAGAAAGAACACAATGATTCACTGTAACAGTTTGCTATATTGACAAGAGCCCACCCAGGCAGCATTACAAACAGCCAGACATTTATGTTAAATTTAACAGTAACCACAATAATAAATTTGGTTTGTATATAGCAAGCTGCTAGACTTACTAAGCAAAGACATACGGATATAAGTGATGACCATGAATAACATAATAAGAGTTGCAACTACGCATTCACGAAGTCAATTTTTTTCAGATTTTAGCAATGCTAAATTGAAAGGAAAAAAAGGAAAAAAAATACACTAAATTTAAAATAGCAGAATAGCCCAACGTAGAAGAGAAGAACAAATATTATTTAAGTTCTTAAAATTTACTTACAAGACAAGCTCAGTCATTATCCATTTTATTGCAGCAAAGAAGGCATTATAAGGCTGAAGAGAAGCAACTTATTTATTAAAAAGGCAAAACATGCAGTATCGATACTTTAACTGAAAATCCCCATGTAAAGACAATGTTATTGATATTCAAATGCATGGAAAGCATGAGAAAAAGAATAGTAGCTTTTTCTTAGAGATAAGAGAAAAAATATAATTATTATATTGGATAATAAAACACATTGTCATGAAATTTCCTTTACACGTGGCTCTGTACACAGATTATCATTCTAAAAATGAAAGTTTTGCAAATTATTCTTAAATATTTAACCTCTAGGGGTTCCTATTTCCCAGGCTATGGCTGGAGGAACAGTTCTGGTAGATAATATGAGCTTTTCCTAGACTGCAATTCACAGACTTGCCTCTCTATAATGTAAATCTATATTCACTACCTCAATCTAATTAGACTGGGAAAAGCTTCTGAAGTTTTAATTTACCTAAATGAAGTTATCTGTGTCATGGGCCAGCTGTAAGCAGTGTAAGTAATTTTTCAGATTCTTCTTCCTTCCCTCTGTTTTTCTGGAGAACACCAAATAAAGCTAATGCTTAAAAAAAAAAATTGCTGTTGACAGGATTTCTAATACATGTTAAACATTTCAACTTTTAAAAGAATATCAATCGGAATATTAACTTTGAAAGAATCTCGGGCAGAAAAGTCAGCTTCCAGGGATCTGCAGAGAATAACCTACGCTTGTTTTACTTGTGGTATGGTCCTTTGGCTGCCTAAACTCCGCAAGTTTATTTTTCAGGTCCCGTACCGGCACAGCGTTTCAGCGCGTGTGAGCGGCCGCACGGGCTCTCACGGAGCCTCTCACACGATTAAAATCACATAGGAAGGGGCTCGCTCGGCTCCCTGCAGGCCCCACGTTTCGCGGCCGGGGCAGCCGCCTGCCCAGCGCCTCGGGCACCCAACGCCGAGCAGGCCGGGGCGCGAAACCCGAGCGGCCCGAGGGCTCCTCCTGCTAAGGAGCCTCTCGCAGGAAACCATCAACCACACTATTATGCCCATTACAAAACGGTATCATAAGTCTTTCCTCAAGAAAAAGAAGAAAAAAGAAAGTTCTAGCTCTTTGGGACAGTTTTTAAAATTTTCTTTGCAATTCAGAAAACTTGAAAACTTCCACACAAGTAACTTAAAATTTTGTTCTGAAATAATCAAAATTACCTACTTTGAAGATGCTATGCACTTTTTGCTTTGCTAACGACAAATTATACTGTAAAATAATATCTATTTAATATAAAATATAGTGCATTTTATAAAACAAATGCTTTTAAGATGAGAGCTAGAACAAAATGAAACAAACTTTTCCAACATAACTGAAACAGAAGATTTGAACATTATAGGACATAAACTGAGGAAAAGAGTTTGTCTTGAAATCCTAATGGAAAAGCTTTTTATGACATTGCAATCACTGTATCCTTATGAAATGTGATTTTACTGAAATAGTGTTTCCCATTCAAAGACTGTGTCCTCACAGTCAAAGACTGTGAGCCCGTTTATTCTCCATATATATATATATTTTTTAAAAAAAAAAACAAGCCAAAGGAATTGACCTGAGTGATTCTATGGCACTGACAAATTTCAATAGAAATTATTAGATTTCATGGAATGTTAGCAAGGGTTTGAATAACTTAGCTTATTTTTGTGTTTTAATTTATCTTAATTACAAGCTGCTATCCAGATATATTTTAAAAAGCAATGTCACATGGTAATGAAAGGGACTGTTTAATTTATAACTCTTGCCCATATCTAATTTATCATTTTAGATATTAGAAATGTGCCAAAAGCTGTCTAATAACCTGATCTACATGTGAAAAACTGCAATTAAAACACAGAAATGAGTTATTTTTGAGGAACACGGCCCTTCCTGTTTTCACTGCAAGTTCTCTTTGTACTTTCTCTGTACTCATGATTAGTAGAAGTGAATTGAAAAGAGTAAATTAAAGCTTTCCCTAACTTTCAAAGTGAACCTGACAAAAACTCACTTAAGGTTTAAAAAGAAAGTTTGTCTATTCTCAAAAACCTAATTAAAGAACATGCTCATCACGTCTCGGGGTATCCCACAAGTACTCCAGGGTGTTTTTCTCAGTGAACAGAGCATGGGCAGAAATTGAAATCGTGAAAATCTCCTGGATAAAAGCCTGCCTATGAGAGAGAAGGACTTCAGCCCGGCATGCTGGCTGCTTGTGCAAACCAAGCTGAAGCCCCACGCCTTGGAGAGGAAAGCTGTTACTGACAATTTTAATATATTTTAAACTGTTCCACGCAGATGTGATTCACAGCAATCTTGCCCTAGGAGTTAAAGACCCATTGCACAGCCTGGAACTCAGCGTACTGAGTCTTTTGTTTCAGGTTCAGGCCCCAGCAGGTTAACAGATCGATACATGCAGTATAATCCTTATTTGCAGCTGTTTCAAAAACACATGGGATCATGTAAATGAACACATCCCAAAATGCATACCATTATTAAACAAACCATAGACACTCCCCATAAAAGCAGAGACCATAGAAGCTGCGTATTTATAGGTATTTGGAAGTTGCCATTTATCTAACAATTTACCTAACTATGCGTAGACAAAGTTTTTGTAGCTGGAGCCTTGTGCATTCAAAAATATAAAATGCCAGACAGCTTTTCTGGCCTGATAGTGCTGTTAATTTTGTGTTGCCTTTACCTATGATTATTTCATGTTAAAATATTCATATATTTGTTAAACAGTTTCTGTCTAATATGCAGGAACTATAGTTTATCTAACACTTTACAAGTTAAACTTGAAATAGCAATCTATACGGTGTATAAGCGATTATAAAATGCCCTTAGAGTTAACAATTCAAAGTTATGGACATATTACCTTAATAAATGATCTGGTAACAAGTGAGTGCTACCCTGGCCAGACCCCCCACTTGGAGGACCCCAGGCCTTGCAGAGGGACAGGATTTGTATTCACAGCTAATTAGAAGACAAGGGACTAAATGATCATTGAAATTCTACTTTAAAAGGTATCTTCTTTAAATGCTTGGGAAAATGTATCAAAACATTGGCTTGTGTTTGCTCTGTAAAAGAACCAATCCTTTCATATAACAAAACCCTCAGTTTTTAATTTGAATTGCATATTTCCATATGTGTATATGTTTACATACCGAAAATGTAAATTTGTTTCCAGCCTCCCAAATACAAGCATTTTGTATGGGACAAAGGACATTCCAACATCGCCTCCCAAATGGTGGTCCAGTATTAAAAATGGTTGTATAAGGACTTGAACTTGTAAATGCTTAACACTTTGCATTTGTTTATAATAAAGCATTCCTCTTACGCACTATGATAAACCCGATAGCTGTAAGCATTCCAAATTAAAATTATGGGCTTACAATGGCCATGATGTATTTGCAACAATTTTCTTTGATGATTGCATGGAAAGGTGCTCAGAAAATTAACTATACTTACGTCCAGTAAGCTATGGGCACTGTCGCTACTCTCTTTGTTTGTTCTACACATGGCCTGGTAGTCATAAAGTGTAATTCTACAGAGAAGAACAAAAAACTGCTTGACTAAAAGAAGAAAACACACTGGAATAAAAATGATGTTATGGAAAAGTCTGCCTACAAAGTAGATGGGCAAATAAAAACTGTGAGGGTGGTGGGGTAGAGAGGAAAAGGGATCATTAAAATATTTTACGTACAAAGGGGAATAAAGGTACGAAACAGTGTGGAAAGTTTGTAAGGATTTTATCAGACTGTGGAACAAAGCTAAGGCATAACTAGGAGAAGAGAAAACAGGGAAGGTAACACACAGTGTAACACACAATGGGAGAAACAATGCCAGGAGGAAGAGAATACACATTCAACAGGATGCTCCAACAGCTGGTTCTGGACTGAGCGCAGCACATGTAGCCCCAGAAAGTGGAAGGACCTGTGCATCTGAAGGGCTTCTCATGAGAGACCACAGTCAAATTCCAAAAAAATACAGAAAGACATTTCTGCTGCTCTAGCGCCTCAGTGCGTAACAGACGTGTGAGCAGGGCTCTCTCTTCCAAAGGAGAGGGAGGGTTGAAGTCACTGTATTCACTGTACAGACATTCACAACAGGATGAGTTTCTTTTTGCTTCTTTTCATGAGGACAAAATATTCCATGTCAGATAGCTGCTGTAACTAGCATAGGCTAGAGGCCTCTTCAGATACACAGTCACAGGGAAATTTCTTTCCGAAATTGATTTTATTCACCATTGACACACTTTAGAGATCTAAATGTAAAATCCAGAACTCAGAGATAGTATATGGAAATGTGATTATTTCTCTAAATCTGTCTGTCCATAGAACAATTAATTGATCATATCCATACACAGAAAAGCATTTAACATCTGTAATAGATGTAGAATAGATTATTTATCTGATAAAATGCAACAAGTCTATAAAAGTTACTAATATTGCTTGAACATATCCATTGGACTAGTATTGCTTGAACATATCCATTTGACTTCATCATCATCAAGGACAAGGGAACACAACTGGACATAAATGACTTTAAATGTATGAGATGGGACTTCAATGTTTTGTGATGTGTGCCTTGCTTCTAAGTGAAGAGGAAAGGAGAACACACAAATTCGGCTATGGAAAGGATGTCCCAGAAGCTGCCAAACACAGGTCATGAAATGCATTCAGCATCACCATGAAATGCATTCTGCACTGCATGCCATGAAATGTTGCAACCTGTACCAATAAAATGCTGTAATCCATACCAGTAGAAACTGTATATAATTTTTTTCTGATCTAGTTTGGTGACAGCAGCCATCCCTAAAAGCTTCTTTATTAGGCACTACATTTTATTTTTGGCTCACAGGCACAATATCTAAATATATTGGCTCTTGCAGCTTCAGCTAACCATTTAGTATATGGTCATACTGCTCACATGATTGACTTTTATCTCACATTCAGAATAAAAATGGCCAAGAAGCCACTGTTTTCTGGGCTGGCAGAGAGAGGCACATGGTAGACACACGCATAACTAGAGACCTAAACATGGGTGTAAGTTGAACACTGACCATACTTGGCAGAATGACGCCCACAGCCAGATCCGCGCACACAGATCTGCCAAGACAAACAGAGCAGTACATGGTGTAAGCTGTGCTGCCCGTGCGGCTTGCAGTAATACACCACTTTCTCTAGCTGGTTCTTGCTTTCCTCCCCTTAACCGTGGTCGGAATCCAGCCCCTGGAACGTACTCTCTCCACTCTGCCCTTTCCACGCTTGGTGTCAGCTCCACTGGTTTATTCATCTAGACCTAAGGGCCATGCTGGATGTCCACAGGGGATCTCCTAGCAATGGCAGCAGTTGGTGAGTGCACATGCAAGGACAATTCACACATTTTAACTTGCTCTCTACAGAAAGTTAAGGAAATCTATGTTGCTCAAATGGTCCCCATCCTCCTCGATTCGCTAGCTAGTGCTTGGAGTAGAATAGCATTTGCTTTAGCCTTTATTCTTTGCAAAAAAAAAAAAAATCAAGAGAATAAGTTTGGTGACTATTCACTTGGTATTTGGAAGTGCAATCATTTTCTTAACTTTCAGTTCCATACACAAGAACAGCTTGGCTAATCTGTGGGCTTCTTTATTCTACTAAGAGGTATTAAACAAATACCATTATAGTGTGTCATTTGGAACATCTGTTATAATTTCAAAGTCAGTTTTACATACTGGACAAAGGCTTTTCCCTCTCCAAGTTAATTTTGTTAGTATTACACTTTTTGAAATATAACAAATAGTTTCTTTAAATGTTCAAAGATAAAAGGTCATAAAAAGACTGAAATAGGTACTCACACAATCATAAACACAATGAATACTGCAACCAGACATGCTATATTCTATTACTGTGGATTGTCTTATTTCATTGTAGGCAGTATAAAACAATCTAAGACTGTGTTATGAATAGGAGGAACAAAAATACTAAAACATATGTAGTTAAATACAATCCCATTTAACAAGGAAAGAAATACTAAGTTTCAAAGTATGGCAGAGGGAAGGAGTTGTAATAAAAAACTCAAAATCATGGTGGAACACTGTAAAATTGTTTTTTGGCTATGTTTTAATGTCAGTAGATAGCAGTACAAAGAGTTTAAACCTTTAATAAGTATATCTAAAGGTGTTGCCAGTGTGAAGATTCTGCTTCAGAAACAATCCAGAAAACAGATAATGTAATCGGGAAGAAGAAGGAAAAAAGAAAAAGGAGAAAGGAAGCAAACGTTTAGAAAGGTACATGCCATGCATGCATTTCTTAATAACAAAATTCTAAAATAAGTTCTGCTTTTTGAGCAATGTATTCATCAATGCAGCGATTTTTGAAGTGGGTAGGTTCAACACCTACCTGAAAGTCTCTACAGACAATTCAAACGAGTACAACACAGGATGTGCAAGTTATATCAGCAAAAGCACGACTGCCAAACATCCTTACAAAGACCTGATTCTTCCCCACTAGAAACAAATAGGAATTTTGCAAGAAGCTTTAAAGATCAGTGGATGAAACCCGTAACCGTGTTGAAATCTGAACACCGCAACATATTGAATCAATTTTAGACTCTCACTCTCTGTCACTGCGAATGATATTAAAGCTCCATATAAATGGGTTCCATGGCATTTACAAATTCAAATACAGTTTTGTTTTGGTTTTATTCTTGGAAATGTAATAAGAAGGTAAAAGCCTTCCAGTCCTATTCCTTGTTAAGGCTACTGCAGTCTTGGTAGTCAAAACACTGGCCTAAGATACTGTGGTGCTTCTATGACCAGGTGTCATTTCTGGAGTGCTGTTTCATTGCTAACGTCTTTCTGAGATGTTCCAAAATAAGCTTTCCTATCATTCAGGCAGATTTAATCAACTCCTGCAGAATGAAAGGCTTCCCCTGATCTAAATTTAAAGGTTGCCTATATGCTGCTAACTGACCCCTCTCACATACCTCATCACTGAGGTCTACGAAAAAAAAAAAAAAAGAAAAAAGAAGAAGCTTTAAAGCTTTCAAAAGTAATCATAAGACAGATATGGACTATTTGCAAAAATACTCAAGTAATGAAACAAAAAAAAAACTTTGCAATAATTAAACATGCACCTCTATTATACAACGTACAAATCTCGGTCAAAAAAATTAAACTTCTAAGTACCACCAGTAACACAGCCTATTTTAACAGGGATACTCTTCTGCTTTCAGCTAGATTTGCAGCATATGTATGAATTTCTAGCTCAGAGTATAAATGCCATAATAGACAATTATGTTAGCAAAACGATCTTCACTGCATAAATTTCAAATATCTTTTCAATGGTTGAAGATATTTGCGGACATTCATAGAATTCACAGGAACATCAAGCTTAATATTTTTCTGTCTTATTATGGCAATATATTTCAATTCCATATAAAAGGAAGGGCTCAGAAAAAAAAAAAAAAAGCACAGGAAGCTAATAATAAATCCCTAAAAAGTCCTAATTATTGACAATATCCTTTACTCATTAGACAATGATTGGTGAGTGCAGCTCGCTTCTGATGGAGAGATGTTCATTAACACGATCATGGACAACAAGAAGCTGTCCCACAGCCTCACAGTGGGAGAGGAGGAGGAGAAAGAGGGACAGCACTGACTGGTATCAAGAATAAACTCGTGTCCTAAATCCAAAGAGGGCTCTTGTGGGGAGATCACAGGACATTGAAAGAAAACCTGCTCTGTTGCTGCCCTAGTTCTCCCATCTTTACTGACAAATAGATTATTACAGTGTCCAGAAGCTGTCAGTCTAATACCTTCTACCACCACTAGTATCAAGGAAAGGGATAAAAATAAATTAAATCATTTGACAAAACAGATTTGTCATCACTTATCTGTGACTTAAGCATTCAACTATTCCTAATTGCCACGAGGCTGCAAAAATGACAACTCAACCCGTTATTTTCAGCATGTAGAAGGATGACCCACTTGCACAGCTCACACCTGGGGTCCTCTTTAAGTGGGTAAGAGTATTCCCATTTAGCTAATACACAGCATGAAGCTGTTAGAAAAATTTACAGAGGCAGCCTTTAAAGTATGCCTGAACTCGGTCCTGGGACAGCTAGTTTTAGATGTCACACAAGGGGCGAACATGCCAGGTAGCAGTGCCGAAACTTCAGAGCAAAGGTGTAAGACGTGCCCAGATCTGGCAAATGCAAAAGATCAGAACAGGGCTCCTGAAAAGGGCAACGCCAGCAGGGAGGCGACCGCTTCTGTTCTTCAGCATCTCCAGTGTGTGCCAAGATCTGCTGTGCGAGACACTCTGCTCTCCTCCTGTCGGGTGCACCTGCCCCTCAGGAGAATGGAACGTCATTCTTCAGGGCAGTACAGTAAAATATTAGTCACTTAGAAATTCCAAATCAAGGGCACAGGCCTCATATATCCTCTGCAGCGAATAAGATGGATCAGACAGCAGACAATTGTTGGAAAGAGTCTGCTCATTTTCCAAAATTGAAGATCTTCTGTTTGTCCAAGCAGAAAATAAAATGCAACTGCCTGTTCATTTACCTGATGCATTTTTGCAATATTTATGCCATAACCATGGGGTAAATCTTGGGCCTACTCTACATTCACAAATATAGCCAAATTAAGGGAAAGCAAAGATCATTAGATTTTTTAAAGGTCAAAATTATGATGGGAAAAAATCCACATGAAAAGAAACAAAGCTTCTAAAAATAGTAGTGTCCATTCAACACCTTCAAAAATATTCGAGAACACTGAATTAAAATTTATGCCTAAGTACAAGGAAGTGACCTAAACTACACTGAAAAATATCCTTCATTTGGAGGCTGTGCTGCCTCAGGGGGAATTAGGAACCTGTTGCAGATCAAATAGTTACTGTTTTCATGATTGGACTTTAATAATATTTTGCTATTTGCAAGAGGCTTAGCAAAGAGGGTTTTTTTTTTTTTTTTCCCCATAATCTTCTTATAACCTAGAGGCCACACACTTGTTCGGTTTTGCTTCTAAAGCAAATTCAGACAGAGAGATAAAAGTCTGCTCCTGCATGTACTTATTTTGAGGAAACAAGTGAGGGATTAGGGCAGCTTTGAGGGCACAGGGATGCTCGCGAGGAGGCACACGAGCAAAGATACAGGAGCAGTACAAGGAAAAGCAAGAAGCGAGGGAAGCTCCTAAGCGTGCAGAGCTTATTCAAGTGAGCCTCAGAATCTGGAAAAGCTGGGATCAAAGTGCCCACCATTGAGGTCAAAAATCTTGACAAGATGATTGAATATCAAGGCCCAATGATGATGTCTGGTGGGAACAAAAGTGGTGAGAGGAAATGACGCTGCTTCTATATTTGCCTTATACATTGGCTTAGTTTTCCTCCTACATTCATTTTTGTCCAGATTTATTTGGTTCATTTCTTCTGAGGGCCCATTGCTCCTGTAGTCCTTAATTTTCCAATGATAATGTTTTTCTTTTGATTTTCATACTTCCAGCAATGATAATTTTTATCACTGCTTTTATGTGCTGGTAAAGCCGCAAAGAACTACAATGAAGATGTCTTTATTTTTATTTTTTTCTTGAGTTACTATAAGCAGCAGATACTTTTCTCAAATAATAAATGAATCTTGATTTATTTAATAATAAGTCAGGAGCAAATGATTCCCGTTAGTTTAACATTTCCAGCTCAATCCCAAAATGAGCTTCTGTATCACCTCACATTAGCAGGTGCTGGGAGAAGGGATTATTTCGTGCTTTCTGTGGACAGGATGCCTGGAAGCTGGCAGGTGGCAGAACGTATATTCACTGCCCAGGTTCGGGCTCCAAGAGGAAGAGACCTCTCCCATCCCTGTGGTTATCTGGGACCTCAGTAACCTCTTCTGCAAGTGCAGCCATGGGCACCATGCAGCCTTCTACTGCTAAACTGACTGACTAAACACTAAAAACAGATCAAGCAGGACAAGGCTGATTAATTCACCTGCTGGAATGTGGATGCCATATAAAGAGCAAGTGGGAAGAAAGGATGGCTATGGACGTTTGGAATAGAAGCCTAAAGATCACAGCTTGCTTGGTGGTTTGGTCTCTGTGACAAGGACGAGTATAATGCACATAGTACCTGCAGTAAGTGCTTCCCTGTGCTTTTCGGGGAGTGGGACTGGTAACACACATTTTGCCACAGCACCATTCACTATTTTTTTTCTTACTCTATATAAAATAGATGTTGGGAAAATGAACAAAAAAACCCTAGACAAATTAATAACTCAAATAAGTACCTAAAAGTCTGACCGCTACAGGTGGGAGGATTTGAAGTCCCCATGAAGCACAGGATGCTGTGCTTCGCTGTGCACCGAGCTCCCCCCCCCAGCAGCCACAAACACAGGAGGCTCATTCACTGCAACGACTCCAGCTCGATCCTCTCCCATCTTTAACTGTGGCTCCGTTCTCCGTGAAGGCCCCTGGACTCATGGGCAATGCCCATCCGAAGCGGGGCCCTCCCAGCCTGGAAGCACGGCCGGAGCCGTGCGGCCTCGGCCTTCCCGACCGCCCCGTGGACACGCCGCTTCCAGCGCCTCGCTAGGCAGGCAACGGAAAGTGGGACAAATCAACGTGTCCTCCCCTGGTTTTAACTGCATGTTTGTGTTTGCTTTAACTAAAATGCTCCATCTCTTGTACAAACAAGATCTTTCCACTGCACAGCCTGTTTTATAAATAGGTATTATTTCACATCCTTTAACAGCGTACGTTAAGAACTCATTGCTAAAATCAAAAAGATTGTTATCCTTGGAGAACCTTGGGGGTTTGGGGTGATTTGCTGAGAGCTGGGCCTTTCACTTCAGGCCAGTTGTTTCCTGGGACCAGCATTCAGCTATGATGCACAGAGACAGTGCAAAAAGCTTTCTGCCTTGGAGAGCTGCAGCTGGTTTATAAAGGAAGCACACAAGCCATCGCTTTGAAAAGCAGCTGTGGATGCCCTCACACGCAATAACTACATCCAGTAATGTGTCATCTTTATACTAGAAATGCCCAGGAAAATAAAAGGAAAAAGTATTACAGGCATGTACTGCAGTTCTCATGCTCTTACACAAGCTGTAAGAGGATGAAGGGGTAAGGAAATGTTCTTAGGACTGTGTGAAAGCCATGAAACCTCCCGTTTTGAATTAGAGGTTAAAGGGAAAAGTCCTTTCTTATTTCCACAGGATGCGTAATTCATTTTGATAGACACACAAAATCATCATTAGGTTTTATTGCCATCATGATGATAACACCAGGTCAATAGTCACAGCAATGCTCAAATGTGAGTTAACATGCGAGTGAAAATGAATTAGTGACACATCATTCTTCCCTCCTAACAGTAGAACATTTTGCACTATCTGGCTTCAGCAATCTCCAATTTTTATACGTCAAAATATTGTATATTGCATCAATGATTTGCTTTAGAGCCATTTAAAATCACCCAGTAGTACATATGGCCCCATCCCATTTCCACCTGAGGACAGTGGGAACAACAGAAACAGGCAGCTTTAGCATCACACACCAATAAACTGCTCTTTGACCAAGGCACTGCAGGCTGAGCCACCAATAGTCTTGACATTCCATGTGCCTGGCATCAACTCACACTAAGCTCATACGAAGAGGAGCATGGGCAGAATCCCATCACTCAGCCAAACACAGGCCTCTTTGATATGACTTTGGTTTTATTTATTTTATTTTAGTAAACTTTTTTTTCTAAGGGATAGAGGGTATAATTAATTGTTACCTCTTAAAAGAGCCCATGGTTAATAATTTGTTCATCACAGCCCCTTCAACCTCACCAAAAAAGTAGCCAGTCTGCAAGAAAAGAACACAAGAAATTACCAGGAAAGAATGCAAGAAACTACCAGAAGTTCAGATAAATGCAAAACAACAGTGGATGCAATTTAAACTGGCATATTCGAGGACCTGAAAAGAGTGGCTTTGACAGTTACACAGATAGGTTTTCGGGACTACTGCTATATAAAAAATGAAGAGGACTTCTCAGTCATGGCAAGTTATGGAGATTACATTATTACCCCTGAGCAGATGTGAGAGCTTATACAATAGACTGAGGTACATTATATAACATCCAATATCAGAAATAAAAGCCATCCAACCTAAAGCTCGTAAAGGAAACACACTAATCTGATCACAAACCCTTGTGATTAAAATGTTACTCAAAAAAGATATAAACAGGTTTTGAAAGGATTTCATAAACAGTCATAAAAAAGCATTGTTTATAATTCCTGCATGACCTGCTTAAGGAGCTGGAACAGTACATTTCATCAATCCTATAAATTTTAACTCCATTCAGAGTCATTTCATACTTAAAACCACTCAGCCTGATGAATTACCCATTTGGTCCTTGCTCAGTAAACGTGGACTAATCAAAATAAATCTCTACTGAGAAAACAAACATTCATGTTATGAATTTGGTATGTAATGTGGAAGAGACTCCATTATCTGCAGCCATTCATAGGGCATTCCAAAATGTTGCATGTGCAGCGCTTTTTTTTTTCCAGTTTGGGAAGACATTTTTTATTTTAGGGCCTCAGCTCCCAGAGGGATTGGGTATGGGCTCTGCATTGTTTAAATGGAGAAATCCCACAATTTATGGGGGGAAAGGGCACTGTGTTCTCAGGTTGCACGGATTCCATCGGCTTGGTATGAACTAAACCCCAGTTCCATTACGAGGAACTTAGCTGACCTCAAGTATGCACCTGGGACTTCGAAGGCAGAGAGGTTCCTGCTCTAGCCAAAAAGAGGCATTCCTCCATCTAAAGAGCAACTATTGCTTTTTATACTCAGGGGAAACTTGGAACAGTCTCCAAAACATGCGGGTGTGTAAAGTTTCCTAGAAGCAAGAGGAACATTTGTAGTTTATATGACTAAAAACACTAACTTCAATAGCCCTAGCTGACTGATGAAGAATGATTATCCTAACTATGGGATAGGCAGTCAGTTAATGTCAAAAAGCCCAAACCATAAAAGACTAGTATAACTTTAGTTAGTAATAAACCTGATTTATCAAGTTGTGTTTCGAGTCTTATAAAGATATTTCAGTGACAGTTCTCTCCACAAAAGCTCCATTTGTAAATACCAGCTCTCTCCCAAACCATTAGCACTCAAATTGTTATTAGTTCTCTTACTGCATCAGGATTTAGTATAATTTGAATGAAGAATTGCATTGCCTATTTTTTGGAAAAGATTCCTAGAATGGTTCAAGTTGGTTTGGGCATTTCCACAGAAATGCAGTGCAGAAACAACCCTGCAGAGGTGAGGAACATCCCTTCAGCCCACTTCCCTATCCCTTCTTCTGCACCCCATAAATATGAATAAATATCCTGTAGATCTTGCCAGGGGTGTTACTGTAAGGCAGACATCACCTGTTCCTTGATCATCCACCAGCCTTGTGTGATTCTCACATTTTTCCTCTTAGCTGAGAAATCAGATACACGCGGGTCTCTTTTTCTGGGCTCACATGTGCTTGGGGCTGTATCAGCCCAGACGCTGCTCCACAGAGCTCAACATCTAATAACCTGTAGGTTAGTTCTGGTCCAACAGTTGTCCCCATGTTCTCTAAAACAATATGTAATGGCCCCTATCAGCTACGCTACCACAGGAAAAACCTCTTCCTAATCCCATTCAATGCCTATATCCAACTCTCAGTTGGCAAACCAGCGACCCAGTCAGAAGCAATTAATTGGGAAAATTGGTTAAAAAAAAAGGGGGGGATGACCAGACAAGATGCTTAAGAACACTGGATCAAAATCATTTTACAATGAGAGTTATTTCCAGGTCATTGCTCATCTACATAGAAAATACAGATTTGATAGACAGATATGGAAAAAAAAACCAAAGAAACAAAACCACCACCAACAAAAAACCCAGCTGTTTCTAACACAATGCAGCCAATGTTTAAGCAATGTTACATTTTTAGTTCATAATATTTTATGGGTACATCCTAGAATTACATTCACAGCGTGCTTGATGTTCTGAAGGGACGGAAGCAATAAATTTAATAAAGTAAAACAAAATAATCAGTTTCAGTCCTCCGTTTTGAGAATAAGAAGACTTAAATTGTGAGGAATGATTGCTGTATGACACAGCGCAGCATCTGTTCAGCAGTTAACGTTCTGGTACAGCACTGAAAATGGAATAGTTTCAAAAAATTGTATTTGCCTTGTTTATTGCTTGCTAATAGACTTTTCAAAGTCTCAACCAAAATGTAATTATTTGCAGCAAAGGAAAATGGGGAGTATGAGGAAAGGTTACCCAGATATTTTTGAGCTATGCAAACCTGAAAAAAATCTCTGTATTTTACCTCCAGAAGTGTCAGATTTCAAGTTGCATTAATTAATTTAACAGTGAAATGCCCAGTGTTGCTTGTTTTTTGCCATTCACTTAGAGTTTTGTATCTCCTCTCTGATCTCTCGTTTGAGACGCCCAGGGCTCTTTTAGATAGTTCTATGTCTCCATAACCAGCCTGGTTCCCCTAAGGGCTGAGCCGCAGCAGGGACCTTCCTCTTCCCCATCCCAGCACAGCTGTTCAGCTTCGGAAAATCTTGGCACAGCTGGGCCACCATCTCCCCAGTTCTCAGGCACAGGTCAACGAGGATGCTGGTGGTTTCCTCATCAGGGTTTAGCAATTATATGGCAGCTTTTTACCCCCTTGCCTATGACCTAAAAGCAAATCCATGTTTTGCACGTACTAATCACAACCCCTTTTGCAGAGCTGAGTGCTTAATTTTAGGGCTCTTCCATGACCATAACCCAAGGCAGAAAAAGAAAGTCACCCACAAACCTCTCTGTAAACTGTCCCTATTAGCAGTTGGAACATAAGAGCCCTCTGTCCCCAACCTCTGCCTTCCCTCGCCCAGTGTTTCCATGTGGTAAAAACGCCACAGGGAATTGTTCTTCCTGGGGTAAAGATTTCTTAAGGAAGACAGACACTTCCGCAGCAAAAATGCCCTTTAAACAAAACATTTATGAGTTCAAGAGCTGACCCTGCCTCACAGGCAGAACGAAACCGAGCTGCTCCGGGAGACAACTTTGATTCTTTGTTCAAAGAATATTTTTAATCTTATGTTACTAATTGTTTAACATTTTAAGACTGTCTAAAAAGCAAGCAACTTTATATAAATGTGTTATATGACAAAGTTGGATGATAGTCTTTCACTTACCTGTCTATAGTCTTCAGAAACTAAAATAAATCCGTTGTTATCTATCAGATAGCAGTTAATTGCCTGAAAATAATAAAAATATATTTTCAAGTTTTAGTTTTAGGATACAACATTTTTATTACTTAGTTTACTTCAATCCCAAGTGCTTCTAAATGGATACACTTTAAGTTCTTTTAACAGCTCACATAACTTTTAAGTGAATTTACTCTCAAATGATGCGATATCTTATTTAATTTTTGTGCATTTAACACATGCAAACCAAAGCAAAGATGTGTACAGAAAAAGAGGATATAAGATAACCATAAACGAGCATAAAAAGAACCCAGTCAGTGTTTTCATAATCTATTCTTAAAAGTGTTTCTTTATAACAGAGTTTGGAAAAGTATCGACCCTTGTTGCTCCCAATGGCTTATACTGTGTTTGGAGAAAAACATCAGCCCAATGTCATTACACTAATGATGTATTAAGGAAAACACAGTGTCAGCCTGGAGGACCAACGGGGGACCAGGTAATATTTTTTAATTTGTTCTTAGGGGGTGGGGACCAGAAACTTCTGTAGAAGAGGCCCCATAGGTCTCCTAAAGCTTTGCAAATTGTGTTTTTAATTGGGAACTGGATTCAGGGGTAGGGCTGTTAGCGTTATGTAGGTCAGGCTTATAAATTGTATAAAACAAGGTAAACCCAAATCAGTGCTTTCCTCCATACATGCATGCACTATTTTAACCTCCAGTGAATTACTTGCTACAGGCAAAGTTTTAATTGCCATGTTTCACGGCTTAAACATAAGGTTCAACTCAAGCCTTGTCAGTACTCAGTTTCCCTTCATTATTACTAAAAACCTACCTCAGTGTTAAATCTCTAATATATTGCTAATATTGGTCTAAATCATCCAATACTTTACTATTGTTCCTTAAATTTTCAATGACATTATAGGAAAAAAAAAAAAAAAAAAAAAAACTGGGCTCTCAGCATAGCAATTTTCATGGTTTTGCTTTTACTTTAAAACCATTCTTACCACAAATGGGCTGAACAGAGACAGGAAAAAATGTTTTCTACTATATTCTCCATAACCATCAAATTCTCTCTGCAGTTTTTGAGAAGAAAGCAGTTCCCCTGCAGCAGTAACTGTGCAGGATATCGTGAAAACGCAGCCTGATCGCTTAGACGATGTTTAGATGCATCTGATGCCTGTTCTGGCCACCTAGTAGTGCTTCTCTACGCCACTGAACAGGCAGTTCAAGAAATGCTAGCAGGAAGTTTAGATTTAAAACAAACAAAAATAAAAAGAACAAAGAAACCCAGACTAGGCACAAGCTGGGAAGGGATGTCATTCCCTGATGCAAACGCAGGAAATTCATTCTTATAAGAGAACCTAAGCTACAGATACCCTTGGTGGCAGAAAACCTGCCAAAAAGGAGGTTAAAACAACTCATTATTTCCAACCTCTGATCTCTGGAAAGCCAGAAGCTGGCAAATGCAACCTGAAAAGTGCAGGTGCTGCCAAAGGCTGGTGCAGAGCTAGCACAGAGAGAGGAGACGGCGCGCGAGGGGCGGCAGCTCAGCACGACGCTGCTCTCCTGGAGCCCAGCACCAGCCTCACTCCAACACCAGAGGAGCTAAGTCACCAAAGGGCTCTTTGGACACTCTCCTCCTCAACTCTTTCTTTGCTCTTAGTTAACAAGAAGCAAGAGCAGCACATGAGGGGATGTGAATTTGCAGTCTTCATGTATGAGAAGTGAATCAAAAAGGGCTCCAGAAACAGCAATTCTCCACAACTTGTAACACCTGAGAGTCGTCATGCTGCACATGAGAGAGGCTGGGCTTCATTTCGTAGCTTATGGGTTACATGTAGTTGGGAGAAGTGCCAGAACTGAATAATTAGTTGACATGTTTCAAATCTCTAGGTATTTGCTAGCATTTTTCAAAATTTAAATAGATATTAATGATTTAGCATGGCTATTAGAGACAGGCTTAAAGCAATGAGCCAGACCTATAGCTTTTTGGAGGCGTGTGAAGATAACGAGATTCATATTTCAACTCATTTTGGAAACATTAACACTAGGAAAACGTTCATTCAGGACTGCATTTATCCATCCACTTGCCAGTAAGAGAAATAATTTTCTCTACACAGCACTACATTAAAGAAACATTTTGTAAATGAAATTTAGCATTGACAAAGGACAGCAGGGTGCAGCTACTTGTCCAATACCTTAGCGAATATTACCAATATGAGATTAATTCCTGGGATAACAGCATTTGCACAGGATAGAGCAGCGTGAAAGAGGTTTAACTCCCAACGATTCACAGGTGTTGGAGGTGAAATAAGCACTACAGGTTTGCCCAAAGGTTCAAGCTCAGTGAACATGAGACTTCAAGGGGAACGTTCCACAGACGGGGAGTCCCTGGGCTTGTAAAATCGAGTAGGCATGAAGTCCAGAATAAACAGAGCAAGAATGTCGACTGAGGCCTGAAAACACATTTGGATTTCAGGAACTTTGATCAAGTTCAAGTCCACTATGTATTTTTTAGAACTCCAGTATATAAGAGAGTAATGGAATGTAAGATGAGTTGTAAAACACAAAATGAAAAGGCAAACAGAAGAATTAAACTAAAATGGGAGATATCAGGAAAACAAAAAGAAATGAGCAAATGCAAAGCTTCCCAAAAAGAGAAAAAAAAAAAAAGTGATCTGCCATGAATTGTGAATCTATCACACCACTGTATTTTGGAATCAATTAATTCTCTGCATGACTACTGCACTATTCCATCTGCATTAACTTCATCTCCTAAAAATTGTAAATTTGTACAGTAACTGTTCAGCAGATATCTTCTTGCCATTGAGAAAAGAGAGCTATGAAGGGTACCAGATTCAACAAGAGGATCTGTGACACCTGATAGAATCCTATCAAAGGACAGTGTGCTCTGTCATTTTGTTATTTATTAAAGCAAAAAGAAAATTAGATACTCTTAATTACTAAGGTTCACACTACTGCTAAATTTATCCTATGTGTGCTTTTAAACAGTTCGCGTTTTGCTTGCATACGCATGTAATACTAAAAAACCTTCTGCTTGAACATTTAGGAAAGTGCATAACTATTAACTACCAATGTGACTTGAAGAAAAAAAAGTGTAATGTTACTTCCTGCTCCCTCTTGGAAACTTTAACAGCATCCACTCCCTTCTTAGTGAGGACAGATTAAAAGTGTTTTTGCAGCAACAACAATTTGCCCGTAATTCCTGTTTTGATGAAGCAGCTGAAGTCCTTGGAGCAGGATCATGCTTAATGCAAGGAATTAGGTACTATTATTACCCAGTCACAAAGGCTGCTTCAAGCGAAGGAATTAACGTCTACTCAGTCTTCATTCCCTAATGCACGGTGGTTTATGCTAAACGATGCAGAGATTTTACACGGCACGGAGATTTTAGCCAGGCTACCTGTGGTTATACCCCGCAAGCTGGTTGGCTCTGAGTGGAAACCCCTGGATGAAACTATTTAAAAGTGCTGGAAACAATTCAAGATACAGTTTGGACATTAAGTCTACAGTAAGTTGGCACAAACCTAAGAGTGAAAAAAGGCCAGGAAACATATGAAATTTACACTTCTACAGACCTTGATTTTCATCAGATTCTGGCACACTCTTAGGAGGCCAGGCAATGAACAGTTTGAGCTCAGCTTAACCTGCGTTGAAATGCAAATGACAGCAAGGGATTGGAACCATGCGAACGCGCATGCAGCCTTAGCAGGGTCTTATAATCCATGCTTGGATTCTCTCTTTCCTTTATTTTTAGTTGCTTTATATTGGAAAATAAAAGTTCAATAAATGCTTAAAAATTATACAAACTACAAATGGAGTCTTTATATCTGAAAATGAAAGAGATTTGTTGGTTTAAAAGGGCCCACTTCACTTCCAAAGATGGCATAATCATTGACAAAGACTTTTGTCTTTCTACAGATATATATTTTTTAGTTTTATTTATTGCTATATGTATCCTTCCTCTGCTGGATCGCTGGGTTCTGGTAAATGAATTATAGTTTGCTGTGATTTACTAAACTGCTAGGCTGAAGAAATTAACGGTGCTCCGTTGTTGTAACTGCTGATGTTTGAAGGTCATGTGGCCTTTATTCCCAAAACGTTTTTTGTGATCTGAATCTCATATGAAACGGTCACATATTTTAAAAAATATGCACCTGTATATTGGATACACATAAATATGAAATGAGTCCTTGAAGTAGTATTGCTAAGATTCATGCTCTACCCTTTAAACTTATTGAGACAGCATTGCTGTTCTCATAATTAAATAAATCAGTCATGAAATATCATAATACTTGGAAAGTGTAGAAGCGTAAGCATAATATTTAAGCATAATTCTTAGAAAGTGACTCCAAATAACATCATGTTTAATTTAGTCTGAACATCTAATTGCACACAATAATCTACTTTAGGTTGCTCTGCACTGGAGGTATAAATGAATATATGAAATGAAATGAATAATGTTAAATACTTACATCATCATCGCAACTTATAGAACATCTGCCATCAAGAGATGCACACTGGAGATGACACCAAAATCAATAAGTTATTTTCATGTTTAGTTTAATGACTGCAGTAAATGACTTAAAACTAAACACAGTTGTAAAGAAGTTGATATCAATTAGATTTTAATCAAAGACAGCAATTGCTCTAAGAATGGTAATAGTAGGAAAGTGTTAAACCTGTTCTCAAATTGGCTCCATTGCTGTTAGCAGAAAGGGTGCATTTACACTGCATTGGTGTGAACACCATCCTTTACCTTACAGGTTGGAAGCCTGGAGATCTTCCACAGGAAGAAACATATGATTTTCCAGGAGGAGTGGGGTATGACCAGCATTTTAGTGGTGCCAAGGGACAGTGCAGTCCCTTTGAGATGATTCTCAAAATAGTGATGAAATCTCCTAATCTTTAAAAATGACACTATTCTGTTCCATAAGTACAACTTCTATAAACTCTATAAAAAATTTAGTTACAGTTTATTAAAGACTATAAATATCAAGCATGATTTAGTAACCTGGTTAAGCTCATCAGTCGAACTCATACTTCAGTCACTGTTAGAAGATAGATGCTATTTAAGGCAGACAACACGATTCTGCTATCACTGAAAACGTCACAGTATTTGGTCAGCAGTTTCCCCTTTTCCTTAGGGAGGAAGTTTAGGTGTGTCAGGTGAACATACAAACTCATTAGTTTGCATGAGTTCGGAATTTTAAAGGACACAAAGGTTCCCCTAATTCTCTCCCCACCACGATCCGCAGGGCAGGCAGCCTGTCCATGGGGTGCTGGGTTGCTCAGCCCTCACGAGGGACAGGGCCATGAGGGGACGGCCACCCTGGTGTCCTTTAAGAAGCGCCTCGCAAGTAACCAAGCAAAAATGGTGTCCTTTGAGATTGCCTTGTACTAAAAACATAAAAACGTACTAAAACGCTTATCCTAAAAACACTGAATCTCACCATGATCAGAAAGTGTTGATCAACCTAAAAAAAAAAAAGCACTAGCATTTAGGAAACATGGGATTTTTTTTTTTTTTTGTATTTTTCATGTTGTTATTTTGGAGATACAGGAAGTTAAGTGGACCTACAGCAATTTTTCAGAGTTTTTGTGTACAGTGCCAGCCTAAAATTATCAATCTTTATCTTTGCCTCCACAAATGCTGGATTTTTCAGTAGACCTACCACTGGTTTTTGACCACTGAATGCTCTTTTTTTTAAGAATAGCTTTGTTTGTCACGAAAAAATGTGGATCACTATCATCTGCACAGATAGAAAGGACATAAAGCTGTTGAGGGTTCAATGACAAATTAAATAAGAAATTAAACTTACCTGTCTGCTTGCAGTCCAAAATTTCCGCTGGAAAAACTCAAGTTTCATTTGGATACCTACAGCTGGGAATATATAAATGAAAACAGTGTGTTAAAATTTTAACAATATCTTAAAATTCCTTTAGAACAATTATTTAAAATTATTCAGAAGGAAAAATGATGATGAGATCTATAATAAAAAGGCAATAGTATTAAATTGAAGAGACCACACAGTTATATTTTAAGCTGTTTACACTTCGTTTAAAACACATAAATATTGCTAACACAACATGATAAGAAGGCTAAATTATTCAAATGTATGCATCTCCATACTTAAGCAAAAACCCCAAAACCTAAGCATAGGTATATGCATGTCTAACTGAAATTGGTATCTTACTATAGCAACGTAACTGCTGCAGGAACATCCACTACAAGTTTCATGCTGAAAACTACTGTTGGCTACGATTTCAAGTGATCATTTGTCATGGGGCCATTTGATCCCTGAGTTATCAGTAGAATAGATAAGAATTCTATATCAAACATAAGCACTTGTTAAAAAAAATAAAATAACAGCACTATGTGCAATTATGTCAAACAAAGGTATTGGAGTTAAACACTGGTTGGCAAATTTCCAGAAAAAAAGTTAATGATGACAATAACCTGCATCTTTTTTGTTGTTCTTTTAAAGAATGCAAGACTGAGGCCCTGACTTCTAGCAAATTAACTACAATAATCTTTTGTTTGAATCAAGCAAAGACTTTAAAAAACAGTTGTTTTTGAAACTTGGAGGAAATGTCATTCATTCATTTCATTCCTCTAGGGTCCACAGCAAGCATCATTTTAAATCATATTCGCATTTCTTGTAACAGACTACTGGTACTGTTTATTGCAAATGTACACACACTGCTGTCATGCACGTATTTTATTTTGTGTTAGCAGGTAGGAAAAAGTATGTGGTATGAAATTCACAATGAACTGATACAATGTGATGTGAAATTACATAAGGAATTTTCATATTGTAGCAGTTTATAAATAGCTTTTTGCTATCTGTATCTCACGAACATTATCGCTTAAGAGACTAAGTACAGAAATTCATTTCTCCTTTCAAATAAACTCCAGAGGAAACTCTCTCCAGCTACATTTTATTATCTGGTAATTTATTTTATGGTCAATGAGGAGATGCTATCTGACAGGCGTGCAGCACATGTTTTCTTCATCTGTTGATCGCCATTAGGTTTATGTCTAGCACACAGGTGATGTGCACATCCTACCCCCTTTTTGTCTGAAACGGAGACAAAACACATGACCAGGAACTTTCCACAGAGAAATCACGTTGCTCCTATGTGTTATATCAGTACTTGAGATTTCAATCACATATTCCATTTGTACCGATCCATCTCCTCATACGCGAGTCAACACAAGAGCAAGTATATCAGCGGAAACCATCTCGATCTCAGCAAACTATCTGTGTGCCTTGCTTTTGCCATGTGAATGTGCCTACTACACTCACCAAAGCAAGCCCTGTGCTCGACTTTAGGTACATGGAGAGGCACCTTGCTGAATAAAGTCCTGGATTTGTCACTGCAGGAAATAGCATCTTTTGTAGACTTCAAGAGAAGTTGATAACTGTTACCATCAGGCAGGTTCTGACCTGTTTTGCAAACGCTAGGAAATGGGCATGCTTTTCTGAGCAGTACCACATGATATCCAAGGGAAGCTGGACTGACCAGTAGTTGTCTTTGCACTAGAAAAATGTGCATTTTTTAATGTTACATATCTCCAAATGTTTCTGAGCTCTTAATTTGAAAGCAACTTGGCAGGATATAGTGGCACAAATCCCACTTCTTAGCAGGCTCATAGATCTAAGCCCCTAGGCACATACCCCTAGGGAAGGGAGGAATTAACACATATAGACCCATGGAGCTGTTCTTTCCCCAAGTGATTGCATAATGGTATCTTCAGAGTAATCTGTGTCAAACTGATGAGTTCCTGAAAAAACAGATTTTCGGAACTATTTAGATTTTTCAAGAGTTAGACTTTCAAAAGTGCTTAAGCAGAGCTGGCATTTACTCCTACTGATTTCAGTGGGAGTTGAGTTCCTAACCTGCTTAACTACTATAAACCATTCAAAATGCTTGTCTCCACCTCTGGACTCCCAGATGCCTTTGATATTCTGTTCCTCGGTCATTTATAAACACTAACAGCTTTAACAGCCTACACTTACTATGGAGAACCTCTCAACAAAGAATCTCAAAATACTCAATAAATGTGGTTAAGTCTTAATATCCTCTTTTTATTGCTGGGAAAATGATGCATAAAGGAAATGAATAACAGAGTTCACACAAAGATCTGACACAGACAGTCATAATAGCAGGGCTGAGAACAAAACAGATTCGTGGTCTCCAAAGCCTTGTTCTAACAGTTAAAATATTGCTATTCTTAAAGGGCATAGATAAATGGGTTGTGGTTAGATATAGTTCAGTTAGAGTCCTGATAGGGGTCAACTCTTGGAACTCCATTCCTATTAATAGACACCATTGCCCAGAGTAAAGAATGAGTTGCCAAGGTAAAATGGTCTAAATTATCAAGTTCGTTATCTTGATGATGTGAAGAAACAAAGCTGTGATCAAATATCAGTTTAAGGTTTAAACCTGCAAGGAACATTTATTAGGTTTCAAATGATGAATGCAAAAATCTCTTCCATTATGTGCTTTAGTATGGTTATTAAAGTTGTTGCTTCTTCTGAATTCAGCTTATGGAAGTTCTCCTATTTTTCTTTATCTAGCAAGACACACAAAGCAATACACACAAGCCTATAGCATGCCTAAATTGCAAAATAACAGTACAGGTTGGTAAAAGTGATATTATAATAAAAAAATTAAATATTTCATTACATTTTCATGCTAAAATGAATCTCTGTAATTTAGAGATTAACTTTGTGGCTGGCTTGTTTAAAATATTTGGCAGAACAATCTTTAAATTCCATTTTTTCTCTTGTGAACTATTAATGAAAGTATAGCAAATAATCCTGCCATTACAGTTTAGGTATAGTCAAAATTGAGCAGAAGAGATTGGACTAGATAACCTCACAAGGTTCCTCCCAGGCTGAATTATTTTACCATTCCATGATTTGAGTGTAAACCTTTTGCAGGCAACTGTGAAATGGAATCCTATGTAAATACAACAAGTATGTACTGAAGGTTTTCTGGTGTCCAGTAGAAATTACTTACCACATAAGAGAGAACCTGAAACAATAGCAAGGCAATGAAGCCCATGTGGAAACCTTCCATGTGTCCATTTTAATGAGCTGCTCAATGCAATGCTGGGACGTAAAGACAATGGAAATCCTGGGACTAATTTCTGCGAAACTCAGAACATCCCTCTTCAAGAAGCTGAGAAGAGGCCAAAAGCTGCAGTTTTGTTTTGAGTAGTATTAGCTCTATGAATGTCAAAGCTTTCTTGGGCAGACTGCAGAGGGAAATGAAAGATCAGGCAGAATCACTAGGTTTGCTCCTGCTCAGGCAGAACCCCACAATTTCAACAGCAGCAGTTTGTGTAAAGCTGCAGGGCCAGGCATTACCAATTCAGTTACCACATTTCTTACTTTTTTTTTTTTCAAAAAGAGATTCAGTTCATTTCTCTACCTTTCAGCAGAGCTTTATCACTTGTCTCTGAGGTACAACACTATTGAAGAAGGTAAAACAGGAATATATCTTAAATTTTAGTCTACTCTGATCAAGGTCATAGTGTTATAATGGCAACATGTTAAGTAAAACACATAAAGGATTGCATATTTTCTTTGTGGAGTATTTCCTCAATCAGTTTTGTAATCCTTTACTTGTTTTTAAGTAATGAAGTGCTACGTGATGTATATCTGTGTTGCAAGATAAGAGGAGTAAAAACAGCTCCCATAAACACTGTACAGTGAAAGCAGTGATAGGAATTTCTTTGAAGAGGTGTGTCTTCAGGCAAGATTTTAATCTTACCCTTTTAATTTGTTTATATTTTGTTCTTTGTAATGTCCTGAAGAATCTATATAGGAAATTCCATGTCACTGAATGAAAAACTTCAAAATATTCAATATCCTATAAAAAGTATAATTAAGATGCAATTATTCATATCCTTTTCATTTCGTATTAAAATTATGTGAATCAACTTATATTCAAAAGAATTAACTTTGCTAGTGGATGGAATAATAATTTTCTACTCCTGAGGTAGTGCTAAAGCCATTTTACGGGCTTTTGCCTGTGCTTTTCCAGAACAGTGTTACTACCACAGGATATTTTTTTTGCTCAAGTCATTTAGCGCCTTAAGATCTATTCGGATAGACTTCAAAAAGTTTAAGAGCCAATATGTTCTTCTGAGCAATCCCTAATCCTCCAGCATTCAGAATGAGATATTTATGCTCCAAGCTACTTTATATTTAATCGGTGTTTTATAAATTGGCTAACATTTTTTTTAAAAAAGCACAAATTTCAATATTACAGCTCCCATAACACCAACTCCTCATTTTGCCTCCCTGACATATCAGCTACAGCAGAGAATAAAGAAGAAAACATAATTGCACTGCAATTTTGTCCAGAAAATATGCATATTTTTATAAAAGTCCTATAACTGACATTCACCTGGAATAAATACAAATTTACTTCAACACTTGTTGATTGAAACAAAATGGTCATTTTTTTTTCTTCAGGCAAGAAGAAATGAGTGTTCCGAGACCAGGAAAGAAGATGCCTTTCCCTTGTGATGGCCTATTCTCCATACAGAAAACCTGCCTGCCTCCTGCCTCCATCTGCTGTGCCACATATAGGCTGTTTCAAATGAGTATTACAAACCCAAGTGCTTGTGTAAACTACACTAGCAAACTGACTTAAGTCATCCCAATAAATAGCTTTAAAGCAGGCATTAACTCCCCAAGATTTCTTTTTCTTCATTTAATACAGTGGCTGACAATCTGCAGCACATAACCTATGAAATAGCAAACGCTTATATAATTATGTGATAACTTTTGTTACGCAAGTCGTTTCCTTATGTCTTGATGTCACAGTTGAGGGTGGTTTTACCAGGATGCTGAGAGTAAAAAA